CTTTCATATTGCTATCACCAAAGTACCTGATAAGAACAATAGAGGAGGAGAAGTTTAATTGAATTTCACAGTTTCACAGATCTCAGTCCATAGATGGCCAACTCCACTGCTCAGGGTCCAGGTGAGGCAGTATATCATGGGCAAGGGCATGGACAAGGGAAGCTACCTCCTTATGGTGGGATAAGGATACGGAGAGAAAGAGGGAGGGGAAGGATCACAGGAAAGATGCGCTTCCTATAGCCACACCTCAACCACCTACAGTTACCACTCAGTCCTTTCAAACTAGGATGAACCCATTAGGTAAAAGCTCTAATAACATATTCATTTTACTTCTGAATATTCCTGCATTAACAGGAACTTTGGGGAACACCTCACATCCAAACCATATCACATGCTCTCTTGTCATATTATGATGCAGGAAGAAGACCCTTGCCAGATGTGGGGCCCATTGACTGTGGACATTTCAGCTTCCAGATCTATAAGAAATACATTTCTTTTAAAATTATCCAGTCTGTGGTATTCTATTGTAGCAGCTGAAAATAGACTAGGACAGAAAGCAAACTTCATAGCTTAAAGATGTACAATCTAGTTCTTAATGAAGTTTGTTTCCAGATTAATAGAGAAGACTCTTTATGGTCTTTTACAAGCATAGGCTGTTAATTACATTAAGATAATGAAACCAAAAACTAAAGGTTAAGATGCTTTTGGACAGACTGAAGAATGACCTGCAAACAAAACTTAGGCATTTATGGGGCAGTACTTCCCTATGCTATAAAAACCATTGGGGAAGAGTTTCATGCTCTAGCCAAATGTACCCTCATTGGAGCAGGATACTCATCCAATTGGATCATGAGTCTGGTTTAGCACAGTAATTACCGAAACAAGGTTTGGGCTTAAAACATGGAACACTGAATTTCCCATTTCAAATGTGAGTCATATTAAAATTATTTTTATTAGCATCCCCTAGAAAACCACAGCATACCTTTGTATTATTAACTGCACATATATAAGTCTTTAAAAATGCCCTAACATAGTTTTTAACATACCAGAGACTAAAAAAATGTGGATTGATAGGTAATATGAATATAGAGTTTATTTCCAAATTTGAAATAGTTATGGTCTAATGGAAATCTCTCTTGAAATAATGGAATTAATGTTGAACACTTAAAAAGTCAAACATGAAATGACTGAAAAATATAACACTTATTTAGAGCTGGGTTCTAAATGTCCTCTAGACTCATGGAATTCACCCATATCCCCAAAGATAAAAATAATGTAAAGAAATGATGCCATATGATTATTATACCAAAATTCCATTTGGGTCTTTTTTGTAGAAAAAGAAAGTAGAGAACAGGTTCCCAGATTCCCACTTCACATTTGGACACATGTTTTTGATACAACTCCTGTGTATGGGGCTTGTGTGTTTTACTATACCTTGTTCCAGAAACAAATTAAAGCAACTTATAAAATCACATAAATTAAGACTCCAAGTAAAATAAGCAAGAAATAAGGGTGGGGATGAAAAATAGAGCCAGGAATGATGTCAGAAAATGCACATCACATGACCTATATGCTTAGTGTGGGTGGGGGACACATTGGCTGTGGTTCTCGAGCAATATACACAAAAAGTGAACCTGGTTAGAATGTCACAAAATAAATAGTTTCTCAGGAAAAAAGAAGCCATAGCTGTTTTCTTTGTGTCAAAAAAATAATCAGAAGTTTTCTCCAGGATTTTAGTAAAGTATATGATTTCATTAATAAGCACTAACAACACTTTTACTATGCCCAAAAGGGGGGTTCATGGCTGAGCCTTACAGTGGACTTGAATATAGGTGTTTTATCAAAAGCACTATACTAAAGCAAGACCTAGTAAAATATTTTAGAGTGGGCCAAAACTACTGTCAAGAACTGGAAGGCTCTGCGATTTTACCCTATCTGCAAGCTAACATTGATAGTTCATAGATGCTGGAATGAGACACAGGACTCCTCGGGCAAAGGCAAAGGACAATTAGAGAAATAGCAGAGGTCTGAATAGCAGTATTTCTATCAATTCTGAGTCCCAATTCCTACAGGCCAAAAGAGGTACAGGTGATATCACAAAAGAAAACTGAGCTTGGGGAACTTTGATGATGGGAAGTAATTATCCATTCTCTTTGCCTCAGAAAGAAACAATATCTTTATTATATGAGTCAACACACAAAAAAAGTTCTGTCTTCCAAGGCTGTCTACAATACAAGCATTCTTAAAAAAGATAGTCTGGACCACAGGAAATCAGTGCATCTGCTCATGAGATGGGGCCCCTTGGAGAATTGTTTTCCAACAACATTCTAGACCATACTCAAACTTTCTCTATGTCAGTCCAGAACTATCTTTTAGACTGTTTGGAGGAATTGAAGGATGTTTTTCCAGTGACACTTAAAGCATTGTTATGTTTTAGGCAGGGAGGGGATGATAAAGAGAAGAGGCATGGTTCCTGCCTTCACAAGAAACACAGTACATATTTTATGTGCTTTTCAAGCAGTTGTTCCTAAGTGTTCTTTCAACAAGATTTTTTTTTATTATAAATGTCAGTGATAAAATTCAGTAGTCTACAATCTCACAAGTATCTGGAGCTTAGCATTTTCATATTTCCAAATAAGATACTGTGGCTGAAGAGGCATTTGAACAGGATGAGGGTTGGTATTCTCTTGAGAGAACTGAGAAACCTGACAGAATGTACCAATTATTCCACAGTAGTCATCTGCAATGTACCCATGGCCAGAGGGTCAATTCTTCCTTGGGATGAGCCCAAAATCCTTCAATGATTGCATGACCAAAGCCCTGAAGTGTTTATTCCCTGTGAGGAGGGACCTACATTCTGGAGGATTTGTATCCCTCCTGCCTGGGTGGGAGATCTGACCTGACAGAAAATGTCTTGTTAATTGAGAAGGTGGGAAGTCCTGTGTGAGATGGGCTCTTTCTAAAGCCGTGATTCCTCCCGCCTTTGGAGAGTTATGATAATACTGTCAGCATTTTTACTGAATGGTCATTTGTCCTAGCAGCCAAGGTAATGCAACCACCTTTCTGACAAAATAATCAGATTGGCCTTTGTTTAATTAGCTTCCAGTCATTTCCAAACTGCAAATAATGACGGCTAATGTGCATGGGAATTGTTCTGCTAGTCACACAGAAGCTGATGGCCCAATCCCATCACCCAACCCTCACACCAGCCCCTCACACAGTTTTGAAGAACTAGCCGCCTTGATAACATTTCTGCTGGTATTGTTCCCTCAGAAAACCTGTCATTTCCTGCTAACACTGTGGCTCCACTGGCTTAGCTGCAGGGTAATGGCATATAGAAGCAGAACCAGCAGGGTCAGCTGGATGACTGTCCAAACTTGGGTTTGAGGGAGCTGCCTGTTGAAGTAGAAAATCAGAGATGAAAAAGACCTGTTAAATAACCCAGTCCCTTCCGCAGCCACTGCCAGAGCATTCCAATGGTGAGAGGTTGGACCGAGCCAGCTCCAGATGACTTTAACAATGTGCCTCTCACACTTTATTTGGAAGACAAGGCGCTCTCTTCAAGTTTTCTTTTGGTGAGTTTTCTACCTATCATTTCATTTGACCAGTTATTCCAGTTCCCTCTTACTGTTTTTGGTTCAGCTATAGCAACATTGTGAAATAAGCTGTTTTCAAAAACTCAATATAAGCAATATTTAAATTATTACCCCTGTCATTCCAGCAATGTGCCTATATTTGGGGCCAAGTGCTGTAGGGGGAGAGGGCACATGCATGGACTTCAGAGGTAATTACACCCAGGCTAGAGTAGATTCTGTTTACTGGAGGGCTTTACTTTTGTCATTTATTTCTGTCACTTTCAGCAACTGCTGAGTGGCAGGTACTACTAAATACTTTCTAAAATTCCTACTAGAAAATTTATGAAGTTGGCAGAGTCATCTCTATTTTTGAATTTAAAATTTAGCAATTAGGAGTAGAAGTGCTGGGTTAAATGGCCTGCTTAAAATGCTGGCTCTGTTGCTCAGGAGCTGTGAACTTGGGCCTTCTATTGCACCTCTATGTACACTTTTTCTACCTGTTAAGTGGGAGGAATGACAGTGCTTTCTTCATTGGTCATTTTGAGGAATAAATATGTTCATATGTATAAACTGACCAGACCCATGCCTGCAAAAGAACAAGCACTGAAATGTAATTGGTATCAAGGAAGTTTGTTCGGAGGCACCTTGCTAGTAAGTAGGGTAAAATCTTCTGTTCCAAAGTCTGTCTAAATTATTAATCATTGGAGTACACTCGCTTGATCAGGACACTTAACCTCTCTGGGCCTCTGTTTTTCTCACTGATAAATGGGGAAAACACCATAGTGCCTGCACCAAATCAGTCCTATTGCAGAGCCCAGCTCAGAGTGGGACTCGATTGTTAATAGTGCTGTCTCTATATCCTACTTGTAGAATGTCTGTATGTATATATATGATTATTCCACATTTATATTATATACTAAGTATAGCTAATAGCCCAGGTATTACTCTTAAATGTTTCTCCTAATACCGGAAATACAGGATAGTTTAAAGTATATTTTATGAATTTACTCCCATTTCAAAGAATAGATTTGGTTTACTGGATAACCGAAAACAGTTTCCTCCCTAACTAACAAGGTTTCATTTTACATTTTTAATGTTCTGATGGTCTTAAGTGTGTCTCTTTCAGATTCTTTAAAATAGTCTATGGAATGTTTTTTAAATTGCCCAAATTCTTTTTCTTTTACAAATGTAGATTGGCCATAATTTCAATCTTTATGTTACAGAGGGAAGAGAAGAGACAGTTAGAATTTCACAGAGGGAAATATGATGATTTGTTTTTGCTGTTGTGCCTTTTTTTTTTTTTTTGGTGTGTGTGGGAAAGGGTGTGATGTCATCTTGTCTCCACCCCCTGTGAGTAAGCCCACAGCACAGCTAAGTGCAGCCGCCTGCCTCTGTCACTGGGAGACCATCCACTTAAATGCAGCTCCAGGGTTGCGAGGCACCCACCAGCATCACTCCCCGGGCGAGGTGGCAAATGCAACATGCTCTCCAGCTTGGGGTGTCTACTTCTCTGTGGAAGTATTGCACTTGCCCTGGGAAATGCACAGAAATTGCCAAAAGGCAAGTAGCTCTGATGTTTTATGTTTTAAAAATATTTTTAAGAGATACTTGTTTTTAAACTGTTAATATTAAATATGATCTGCTTTATCATATGGGGGAATAGATTTATGCTGCAGAAAGTCAAAGTTCAAATGTGTGAAGGGTTTGCTTAAACTATTACTCCACACTCCCCATTATTTACTTTTCAATTGCAGCTCTTTATGGCAAAAATGAAAACCAACTTCTTGGTTGGGTATGTTCAAGGGAACTGGAATGGTATAGTTTCAAGTTACAGTATTTGTATATTGAATCATGTTATGTAAAGGGCTATTATAATTTGTCAGTTATTTGCTGTTTTTATCACTCAGAGACTAAACCAGCACAAGTTTAAAATTTAAAAGAAGCTAATTCTGAAATCTGGAATCTTTGGCACAAATCTCAAGCATACCTGTTAACCAGGAGGTTGAGGGAGTCTAGGCAGGTCTGACCAAAGTATGGTCACGCGCTAAGTGGTAGACACTTCTCTCCAGTGGAGTTTGGAAGAGGGTTTGATGTGTTGGACAGGACACTCCCCCTTTCTCCTGCCTAAACTGCTCTTATTTTAGTGTTGGTATTTTGTTTACAAATGCCATTAGAAGAAAATTAAGTTCTCTAAATTTAGACCTCAAAAATGCTTTAAGCCCATCGGCACTAAAACAAGAGGCTCCTTCCTCTCCTGTCTTTGTACAGAAATCTTGTGTGTACTTTCGTTCCTTTGCAGAGGTACTTTTGGAAGCCAACTTTAGGTCTGTGAAGGCTTTTATGGCTGAAGACTGCTGTAGTCAGCAGGATTATGAAAAACAGGCTGGAATTTACCGTACAGTTATGATGGAAAATATTGGAGGTAACCCAGAGCCACAGGCTTGTCAAAAACCTGGCGTGCATAATAGAGTCAAGAAAAGTTGTTAGTGTCAGAATATTCAGAAGATCTTGCCTGGGTCCTTTCCTGGAGGGCTCACTCCAGACTCATCTTCTCACAAGCAAAAGCTGCTCTTCTTTCACTGGGTAAAGTGAAACTTGAATCCAGAATGTGAAGGCTGAAGCACTTGGCCGGTTGGTATTTCACATGATGACGTGAAAAGCAATAAAAAGGCGAAGTAAAACTTCTCAACTTTGATCAAATAATTATGCAAAGAAAAAAGAAAAGCAAACACTATCAGATCTTTTTCTTATACCAAGAATTTTGTTTCTTGGTCATAGCAAACTGTGATTGAAATAAGTCATGAGCTACCGGCATTTAGAATTGACCCTTCATAGTGATAAAACATTTAACAATAACATATCATTTGAGAGGAGTCTGGGGTTTTTCTCCATCTCAATACCTATAGATGGTTTTATTTTATTGTCTGTTCACCAAGTAGAGATGATAGCCAAAATTTGGTTTATTGCAAACTTCTGCAAATTCCAAGTGCTTTAATTATTTTGCATTCACTAAAAGCAGATCTCTTAATACAGTTTGCCTTTATTTTCAATGGTAAAGGAAAAAAAGAACCATAGTTGTAAAAAATAATCATGAAATATTTGTCTATTTAATTGAGTTTTAATCTGAAGTGTTTTCATCCAGGTTCTTTTGTAAATTAAAAAAAAAAAAATCTGTTATAAAATAAATGCCATGCCTCACTGTTTTTAGTGCTATTTCAAATCATGGAAGCTACTGAGGGATTTTTAGCTGAAGTCACCTTTCCCAAACTGTGTTCCAGGAATAGGTGTTCTGTCCTATGATGGTGGTGGTGGTGGGGGCTATGTGTGACAGTGGGCAGGCAGCTGTTTTTTGTCAATAACTTGGGGAACCTTTGATGCTTTGTCCATATAGGTTGGGTATTCACAATAGATGTTAGCATTTTACAATTTTTAACCCATTGTTTCTCAAATTCATTTAACTTAAAACCTGTTTTTTTTTTTTTTCCCAGTATGATGGTAATAATATCTTGCCAGGGGTTTGTCTGTTCCAGAACATATTTGGAGAAATGCTGGGCTATAATAGGATTTAAAAAATGAGAAGGGAAAAAAAGGTTTTTCTTTTTTTTCTACCTAATTTAGAGTTAGTTAAGGACCATGTGTTATTTAAGATTCTCATTTTTCATAAAACAGACCATATTAACAGATTTATAAAACAAGTGAATTTAACTACACAAACAAGTCTATTATCCTCATTTTACTCATTTTGCCACAGACTGATAAAAACTTCATTACAGGCCAATATTTGGAAATCACTGGCTCAGCTTGACGTTTATTTTCTAAATGAAGGCATCCAAAGAATAGAGAAGTTGAGTGATTTTTCCCATGTTAATGGCAGAGCCAGGAGTGGATACTGGGTTTCTGATTAAAAATCCACTTTCTACCCTATTTCCCACTTGGTAAGCAGGGTCCCTCACCCAAATCTTAGGCATCATACCCTATAGCATATGTGAGAATGCTATCCTTCTTGTGAATAAAATTGATTCTCATACAATGTTTAAAGTTCATCTTAAATTTCACATTTTCCTAAGACAAAGTTACATTTGATACAAACATTATATATATATATACATATACACACATACATACACACACATATGTGTGTATATATATATTTACATATATATGTATTGTTTAATTATTTGTAAGAAATCATCTGTTACATGTCATGTGCCTATATGCTAATGACTATATTCTTTGGCAAGTTACTTTGCTAAGCCTCAGTTTTCTCATCTGTAAAATGGGCAAAATGGTACCTATCTCATAGTATTTTAGGATTAAATGAGTTAAGAGATGCATAGATTTTAGTAAAGGGTCTTATACATAACTGGCCTCCAATAAATTCTTATTCCTAGTATAAAGGTGGCTCTATATTGAATGCACACTGAATAATATATGATCTTTTGTTGAAACTGTAAGATAAATCTCTGAGATGGCTTTGTGGTGTGTCATTGGTGGACAGGTGGGGTGAGATAGTGACCTACTGTTTTGTGTGACCACTGGGCAAATCATCTGCCCCCTTCCAGTCTGATTGTGCTCCTTGCATGTGGGCAGACACTCTCCAGGAAAAGCTGCACCTTTGCCTTAGGATCAGGGTTTCAGTAGAGAAAGAGATGGGAAAGGCTGCATGGCTTCTCCAGGTGAGAACCACTTGAACTTTCAGGAGGACAATTGGACTCTAACACATAGGCCCCTGAGATGAATCACGTTGTTTTGTACCTTAGGAAGCCCCTGTGCTCCAGCAACCTTCATAACCTTTATTCTTGCACCATAGAAGTTTCTTCTCCCCATCACACATATGAAAACAAAACCACACGGAATAAAGGGAGCCAACAAAATCTTATAATTGGACATCAGAGGCTTGACACACCTGCTAAAACTCCTGTGTATGGAGGATTGTATTCAGCCTGAAGGCAAAGGATACTGTTATTAGGCAAGTCTATCATACCTCCCTTTAAGGCACGTGTGAGGAAAACCACAGAGGAGCATCGAGTAGCAAGTATAGTCACATGGTCAGGGGGCCTGGGGATCTTGGGTGTGATTCTTGTCATGTGGCAAAGGGAATAGGTAGCTCGCTCTTTGTCTGAGGTTTTACCTGAAAAGGTAGACGTCTCTTAGTTCAGGTATTAAAAAACACAGGAACAGATGATATAACAGTGACCATCATCATGGCTATTAGCTACTACTGCTGTTGTTTTCATTCTCATAGATGACATTTTTTAATGTGTACTACATGTGGTACACATTATATATATTATTTTTCTGAAGAAAAGTAAATAATAGGTATTAATAAATAATAATTATTTATTATTATTTCCCTGTCCTAAGATGGAAGAGATCTGATGGTTCCCCTTAATTATTATTTATTAATAAATAATAAATATTTCTGTTTGGCTAGCAAAGGAGAAACATAGGGGACTCCTGTCCCAAAGGCTGTGATTCTGCCTATCATCAGGAACAGGGGGCTTTTAAAGAGGTGATTTAAAGGCTACATTCCACATGTTCACTAGTCAATTTGGGAGACAGTCATTTCTGAGCTCTTCTGATACCATCCCCAAATTCTGGATTACTTTGTTTCTATGGTGGGTTTGTACTCAAGGACAGATAAATCTGCCTAATATGGGGGAAGAGAGGTAATCCTGTTTCCCATGAGATTAGGGAGTAGGAGAGTTTAAGGAGGAGGAGGGAGAGAGGAAGAGAAAGAAATGTGTCCATTTTAAAAATAGGTTGCAGTGGCAGAGCAGCAAGGGCTATATTTAAAGCATAAAGTGGACCACTGTTATATTTCCCCACTGTCAATTTCCAAGTTCCACTTCTGTGGAAAAATGGGTGATGACATCTCCAAACTGCTTCCTGTTGAAAGGGGATGAAGTTGGGGGAAAGTAACCCAAAGTCCTTGGTCTCTATCAGGTGGGGTGTGGACAGTTAAGGGTATTTAGTATCAGAGCAGTCCAGAGGTCCACAGTAGCAGATGGCAGGTGACTGGACAAGGCATCCATAAGGCAGGGATCATGCTAAGATGATAGAGCTGCATATTTTTAATGAGCTAATTAAATTGTCTAAATCCCCCTGCAAAGTGGGTATCCTATTGCTTGCATTTTGTAAAGCATCAGATTATGCCTCCACGTGTTTAAATAACTTTGCCCTAGCCACATAGCCAGCATGGCCAAGATATTTCCCTTGATTTTGATGAAATATCAGCTCTGTAATCTATGTAAAGATACACTAGTTATAAATTCTACCCCATGTTTATGGAGAGCACTGAGACTGGGGAGACAAAACTTGACACCTGTCTTCAGGCAACTGGTGTTAGTGGAGGAGATGGGGTAGAAAGGGATAACTCCAATAAAGTGGCATCCTTCTCCAATTTGGGTGAAGCACAGTGAATTTTGAGACTAGCCAAAAGGACCAAATCCAGACTGGAGGTGTCAAATATTATAAAAGGCACTCAAGTAGAAATGTGAAGGACAAATGCATTTGGGGGCAAGAAGAAGGATGGCTGAAAAGTGAGGGGCCTTCCCAAC